GACAGCCCGCAGCCCAGCAACCCCCCACATCTCTGCCACCCTCTTCCCAGCATGACACAACCTCTCAGCACCTCCACTCTGCTGCACAGCCCACCCCCAGCCCCCCCTCCCCAGGAAATTAAACGCTGTCCCCAGGGGACAATAATAAATTAATCAAATCTATACACAGGACTGCTTAAAGCTCTGTAACGGGCACCTGGGGGGGCAGCAGCTCTGCCCTGGGCAGCCCCCCCCTGTGACCAGGGCCCTGCGGGGGATCCCCCAAGATGGGACCCCCACCCTGGCATCCCCCTCGCGGGGCTGGAGCCAGGGATGCCGCAGGCCCCCACCAAGCTGGTGGGGCTGGAGGGGTAAGAAGAAAATATTGCAAAAACGGACGGGGAGAGGAGCTGTGTACACTGCAGCCGGAGGGGCTGCCTGCCCTGCCTGCGAGGGCAGGAGCCCAGGGCTGCCCCCCCCACCTGGCAGTTCCCCCGTGAGCATCTGGGCAGAGCCTCAGAAGTCCAAGGGCGTGAAGTCCCCGAAGTCGCAGTCAAAGAGCTCGCTGATGCCCTCACCTTCCTCCAGGCCAAAGTGGTAATCCTGCGCCTGCGGCGGCGACAGGTTGATGAACTCGTCCGCCAAGAAACCTGAAAAATCTTCCCTGCTCTGGTCCAGGAGGGCGTCCATGGAGGCCAGCGGCGAGAGGCTCACCTCCTCTGCCAGGCACTTGCTGGGCAGTGCACTTGTCCCTGGCAGCAGTGTCTCTGCAGGGATGGGAAGCAGCCATAAATCCCACAATATTTACCAAAAAAAACCAAAAAAGCAGGCTATGCAGGAGAACCTACCCCCCCCCTCCCCCCTTGCTGAGGTGCCTGAGCATCACCCAGCTCCCTGCTTGTGCCTACAGCAGAGGGGCTCACAGCTGCAAACACAGCAAGAGCCCCTGGCCAGAGCCACTGTGCCATCACGCCAGCCCCTGTCCCCAGCCCTGGCCACCCACCTTGCTCCCCGGGCAGCAGCGGCATGTTCACGTCCTGGGCGGGATGCAGGAGTGGGGAGGCTCTGGGCTGTGAATGGTCAGGGGACGACTCCTCTGTGGAGGCTTTGAAGGGGCTCTTGACAGGGCTACAGACCCCCGAGCTGTCCTCAGGACAGAGGAAGACATCGATGGGGCCCTGAGTGCTTCGCACAGAGACCTGGAAAGCCTGGGGAAAGGAGAGAGGAGTGAGACAAGGAGGCACAAGGATGCCCGGGGAGCCTGGGCTGAGCTTTGCCGAGGGCTGTGCAGGCATGGGGAGCAGAGGGTGGCCCCAGCTCACCTCCGCTGGGTCCGAGACCTGCAGCTGGGTCTCTGGGGGGGCTTTGATAACCATCACCATTTGCTCCGAGGGGTCAACAATGCTGCGGAGATCCTGACAGGTCACGTAGGCTGTGGTGTGACGGGTCAAGGAGCAGACTTAGGGATGCTTTCATGCAGCAGCAGGGCAGGCAGTGAAACGCCCTGCCAGCAATGCAGCCGGGCTCACTGCGGGGCTTGACTGCTTCCCCCCCACCCAGCCAGCCCCATCCCAGCCCTGCACTGAAGGATATTGCTGGTTGGCAGGGTCCTCGGTGAGCAGCCGCAGCTGTACCGTGCACGTCTGGATGAGGTCGTCCAGCTGCCGCTCGGCCGCCTGCAGCTCCCGCAGCTCCTTCTCCAGCAGCCGGCGCCGGCTGGGGGGCCCCCCCCCTCCCCAGCAGCCGGTGCCGGCGGGCGGCCCCCACGGCGGCCTGGCTGCCCCTGCAGAGCACCGCAGCCGTCAGGAGCCAAACCCCACAGCTCCCTCTGCCCCACACCATGACCATCCCCATCTGGGCCAGACTAAATCCCACCCCATGCTCAGGGAATCAGCCTTGCGGAGATTTCCCAGTAGAGCACAGCCCTGGGGTCCCCTCCTAGAGCCTGGATGCAGGCCCCCACTACCCAGGCTGGCTCGGGGAGTCCACGGGGGACTTGCAGCCAACACAGGGATACCGATGTTCTAGAGCCATCCACGCTGAAGCACAGCTCCTGCCCGAGGCCATGGCCCACGTGAAGGGGAAGCCACCACTCGACCCCCAAGCAGATGCTTCAGTGACACTGTTCTGAGCCTCTCCATTCCAGCAAGACCCCGAGCCTGGCCCAGGCAGCTCCCCTATCCCAAGGGACAGCCAGCCTCAGCCCCACGAGCCCAGCCCAGGGACGTACAGCCACTGGATGTTGTTCTTGGACTTCTTGGTAATGAGCTGGATGCCCTCCAGGACGTTGGTGATGTCGTAGATGCGCCTCTTCTGTACCTTCAGGACCTCAGCCGCCCAGTTGAGGTCCACCACGCCATCGGGCGACTGACTCAGCAGCTCCAGGAAGCGCTTGGTGGTGAGGTTCAGCGAGGTTTCGTAGCGGGACTTCTCCCCGGGAGACTTTGCCCCTGCCAGCCGCCAAGGACAACCGTGATTTAGCCACAAGGGAAACCCAGCTGGAGCTGAGAGGTCCCAAAACATCCCCCGCGCTCGCAGGTAGCTCATGGACCAGGGCTGGCATCCCAAAACCCATCTGCTTTCTTGGGGCAATGGGGTGACCTTCCCACAACCTCCACGGGAAGGATGCTGCAGAACCTGGCGTGGGCTCCAACACCGGTGCTCAGTCGTGACTGCAAGCTCGGTTGTGACACCAAGGTGCCAGGCAGGGCTCAGGGGGAAGATGATGGAGGGTCCAGGTGAGACCACCCGGAACGCTGCACTGACACCATGCCGGCAGCTACAGCTCCATCCCACAGGGAGGGACGGAGCCGGTGTGGTGCCCAGCAGATGGGCAGGACAACTGTGCCACCAGCCCAGGGGACAGCAGCACGGGCTGGAGAGAGACAGCAGCCAGAAACAGCCCAGCCCAGGAACAGCCTCTCCAAAACAACACAAAGACACTGGGAGAAGCTGCCAGGGACCAGCTGAACCCCCCGCTCCGGGCTGGGCTGGCACAGGGGGGTCGGGGGAGCAGGGCTGGTACCTTTAGTGGGGTTCCTGGCCTTGCCCCGGCCCACCGGCAGGCTCTCCGCTATGTACTGGTGATCCGTCTCCAAGTTCAGCTTTCTCTTCACCTGCAAGGGATGGGGCTCCTCAGAGGGACGGCCCCCGCCGCGGCCCCGCTGCCCCCACA